CAAAGATCAACCTTTCAAAATTTGAACCCATTTGAAGCTATTTACTATTTTTAATTATTTATTAAATTTAAAATATAAATCACATTAGAAAAGTTTTGGAACCCCCGATTTTTTATTCCAAATGGTTTAATTTTATTTTTTATGGATTCTATGATTCAGTAAGGTTCGAATGAAAATTAGTTTACATTTTAGTATTTTTATTAAATTATTTATAAAATTTGCAAAATGTCTGATGAGTCCATAAGTCTCTTACCTAACCTAGAATTAAGGTCCGATTATTTTATAATTAAATGGCCCCAAATCTTTTGAATTTAAACTAGTGGGGTCGTCATTCTCAAGTTCAATAATATCTACAAATTAATTGAGGTCATTTGAATTAGAAATCTATTTTACCGTTGCAAAAGAGTTGAATTTCTGTAATCAATAATGGAGATTTTGGTTTCGTTTGGGACGGCTTTCTTATTACTTCTTAAAGCAGCTTTTAATATAATTTTTTTAATTTTTTACTAAAAAACTACTTTAATAAGCAGTAAGAAAGTCATCCCAAACGAAACCTTAAACTAATATTTGATTGTAACTTAATTTTTATTTATTTTATCAATATGATGTATGTGAGTTGCATCAATGTCTCAATGATCTGCGAGAAGACAGTTAACATTCTTTACATGTGAGCACAAATCTTATTCAAGTCTGTAAATTAAAAGATGAGTGATTATTACATGCGGAGTCTGGCCAGACGTAGAGAATTGTTCAATTTTGTGACTACAAATAGTAAAAGCATAAAGTAAAAACACAGCGGTGATTACAGGGGCGGATCCAGCTTCTTTTTTTAGGGTGGGCAAAAAAAAAATTTTTGGTAGGGGATGAGCAAAAATGATTAGGATTGATAAAATTAGGGCAAAAAAATTTTTTAAGAGGGGGCAAAATACCCAAAATATTCAAAATGTTCCAAAAAATACCCTCTAAAATTAAAAAAAAAAAATTTGAGGGTGGGCATTTGCACCCCCTCACTTGTATGGGGATCCGCCCATGGCGGTGAACACTAACTGTATTTTTACTGTTCACAGTCACAAAACCAAACGATTCTCTGTGTCCTAATTCTGCACATAATAATCTCTCGTAAAAGATAATGAACATGCAATCCTCACATAGAAATAAGAGCTAGCATTGTTCAGTTCTAGCTCACAACTCTCAATTTTGCCTTCATTTGAGATAATTTTTTAAATATTTTATAGTTTAGATTATAATCATGATTTTTTATTTGATTATTATTTTTTTACTATTTTTATAAAATTTTATGTCAACTTTAAAAAAAAGTTATATTTTCATAATAATTTATAATCACTTTCTAAAGAGATGTAGCCTTCCGAACGAATACGTATGGTGTGCGGCCAAACTAATGAGCATTGCTCCATAAATATATATTTCATGATAATACGAAATGCCCTCATGCGAACAGTCCAGTAGCAGTAGGGCAGAGAGACTGCCAAATAACATACATGCATGCAAGCATGCAACCACATACATACGTGACACATAAATGCAAATTAAGCAGCCGGCGCACAGTCATAGTCATCATCGTCATCATCATCATCATCGTCACCATCACCATCTACAGACTCTAACAACAAACAGTAATACTCATCAGTAAAAGCCACGTCATCCTCGCCGCCGATGATCTTATTTTTAGAGCACCCGGTGGTCGGAGCCATTGCTGTCTTCAAAGCTTAAAAAAGAAGGAAGGACTAAGTATTGGAATTGCAGGGCTTGCAGGTTTGCTGCTATGGGGAGGTTTAAATAGTTAGAATGACAACGTGGCGGCCGCATTGTAGCCTGAGGACGTTGCGTGGTTAGTGTGCGGCGGCCCGCTGCCGGGCAGCGGTAGGTGCACAGTCAGCAGGAGAGGCGGTGGGAGACAGGGTGGTGATGTACCCACTGTACACCCGCCGGCAGGTTGTGTGGGTGGGTGTGTGGGTGAAGAAGGGGGAAGGAAGGGACTGAGTTTCGCTGAGAAATATGTGGACTGTGGTGGCTTGCACGAGGCAGGAATATAAAGAACAGAGATTCTGAAGAGCATTTTTGTTGTCGTTCATTGGCAGCAGCGAGATCTGGGCCCGCTTGGTATAAACCTTTTTGTGATATACAATAATGAGGGGCAAATTATTACATCCGGTCACCGGCCAGATGCGGAGATTCGGATATTAATAAAATATATTTTAAATTAAGCACAGAAAAAGCGTAGGTAAAAGCACAGTTAAAGCGCACCTAAAGCACAGTCAAAGCGCACCTAAAGTGCAGTCAAAAGCGCAGATGACGTGACATATTTTGATTGGATGTCCGAACCAATTATGCACGTCCGGTGACCGAATGTAATAATTTGCTGAGAGAGAGAGCAGTTGTTGTGACTTGTCTTGATTTTCCGCACTCGGCCCATGCTCTTACACAACAATTTTTTTTTTTTTTTTTGAAAATCATTTGATATTCATATCTTTCAAAAAGTAATAATAAATTAAAATTCTTGAATGTCAAGAGTAGGTGTTGGGTAAATGTATTTAGTTTTTGACCTATATAAATTTGTTGTGTTATAAACTTTAGATGATAGAGTTGATGTTTAATGTTTTAGCTATGGGAATTATAGAAGTTGATAATTTTTTATGTGAAAAATTAAAAAGAAAAATACTCATAAGCTTAGTTGATCGAATAATTAATCCACTATATCATAGGAAGTATAAATATTTTTCTTTTTTTTATAGTTGGTAGATATTATTTGAGAAGTATTTAATTTCTCTTATAGATATTATAGAAATTAGGTTTCCAAAAATGAATAGTTAAGACCCCATAAAAGCACTAAATCTTTACAAGAGTCTGAGGACGGTTGTAGCGATTGTTGGTGGTGTTTATCGACAGTAATAGCATGAAATTGTAAGAAAGCTATTTGATTATCTCAGCTCTTCAACATCTCGTTCTATAAAGAATGAGGTCCTATTTATAACTTTTTTTAAATGGCATTTTGTTAAATTTTGCTAGCATCCATAGTACTCCATCATATTGTCCCTCTTGATAATAAGTTATTTATAAAACATTCAAATGCATTAATGATTTCAGAACTGAGTGATTCTGAACTCATTTGATTTATCTCATCGAGCCACTTGATTTAACTATAAGCAAGCTATAATCGAAAGTAATTTGATCCATCAATTTATGTTCATATGTTTTCAAATATAATTCAAGTGTCTGATTTGAGCTCATTTCATGTCGGATCGGATTATTTATAACGTTGATAACCCATCTCATCAAGACATTCAGTTCGTCTATAAGTTTCTTAAAATTAGAGTTTAGATGTTCCTAAATTTAGTTTTAGAAGTTTCTAATTCATATATTATCTTAATATTCGTGCTGAACATATGATTTTCTGGAATGATATCAAAATTGCTTTTAGATTAGTATTAAATAAAATTTGGTTAACTACACATATAATACACTCATCTCCTAATCAAGTAAGATATAGGGTAATATATATTTTGATTTAAATTATTTTTAAATCAGTGTAATATATATTTTGATTAGCAACTCATGTATTACACTGATCTCATTATCAAATAAGAGATTTGAACGAGTGGTTATCTTTAGTTTTACACCTTTGGCTTATCCTCTAACATAGAAATTTATAATTTTTTGATAAGTTATACATTGATTTTCGCCTATTTAAAAACTTTAAAAAATAAATTTTATTGTTATGTAAAGTATGGTTTGTTCATAAAAAAGGACAAAAAAGTAAGGTATTAGGTTTCAACCCTATTTAAATTATTTTTTATTGACTACTCATGCACTACACTATTCTCAAAGCTAATCAAATTCCATCATCACCTTTTTTTAATGAATTTTAAAAAAAAAAAAAAAATAAATAAAACTTATAGTACTCTAAAGAATACTTACAATTTAATTTGAAACAAGCTTTTATATCATAATATTCAGATTTAGCATGCATGTGCTCGTTTGATTTTGTTTTTTAAAATGATCAAAATTAATATAAAAATCAATTCTTAGTTCTAATAGTAATTAGGGTGAATTGGAAATAAATGAAAAATGATTTTAATTAAAATTTAGATAGAGGAAATGGGTAAAATGGCAAGATGAAACAAATAATAATCATAGTATTATTTTTCTTAATGTAGGAAGTGACAAATGAAGTGGACTATAATCGCATATTGTTATCATTTATATTAATATATGGATGATAGCTTTGACTTCTACTCAATTTCCAAAAATATGTTTAAACCTTATTTAGTTAAATTTTATACTATATTTAATGATTGGATGCTTCTAATTATCATATTTAATCATAATGTAATTTGTATAAATTGAATTTAATTTCAAAATATTATATCAAGTTTTATAATGAAAGGGGTGGTTTAGTGGTCATTATGAGTTGATAAGTCCATGATAGTTATAAATATGAAGTGCTTTATTGGTTGAATGAGCCAATGAACTCTTTGTATCCTCCATATATCTCACTTTGGAGAGAAGTATGCTATCAATCAAATGATTTAAAAAACCCATTGGGTTGAGATCTTCCAAGATATTAGATTATTACTATTTTAATGTTAATGTCCTCTCATCTAAAGTTTGCACCAACACCTATAAATAAGAGGCATTAGATGCATATGGAAGTTTCAACCCATTGTTAATTGAATAACAAATGATGATCAATGACTTTTGCTTATGACATCGAGTCTTAGGCTTCGTTTGGATAACTTTCTTACTTCTTAAAATAATTTTCTAATAAAAATTTTAAATTTTTATACTTAAAAGCTGCTTTAAAAAGCAATAATAAAGCCGTCTCAAACGAAGCCTTAGTTAAGAATTTTTATACTAAAAAATTACTTTATAAAACAATAAGAAAGCTTTCCCAAACCCAAACATAATCTTAATAGATTCAAAGCCAAAACACTCCTACTTGATAATAGAGTCGACATATGATACATGCAACAAAAATGTCCTGCTCTAAATTAATTTTATTCAACCCTAAAAAAGAACAGCGAGTGCGAAGGCTACAATCTAATTGATTCACTGCAATTCTTAAGAAAACAATAAATATTTCGACAACACCCACATTGAATACCGCATATCATCAGATCAAACAGTATTTCGAATATAAGGATTTCTTAGATTTTGTCCACTCCCATATGAAACATTTTGATGGTATTGATAAACCTCATCAAACGCATTAAACATTGTAAACAACTTCAGAAGCATTTAAATAGTTGAAAATCAGACGCAATACTTCATTCGCGTGGGGTATGAAGAAAGACTACTTCCACAATTTTCTGAGGGACATGTTCTTCTCAGTCTCCTTCTTCATGACCTTGGCCACTGCCATCTCGAAATCCTCCTGCGTAACGTGCACTCTCCTCTCTCTGAGGGCAAACATCCCTGCTTCTGTACATACAGCCTGAACGCACCAAAATCATATCAAATTACTCTTACGAATCATGCAATTTACTCAGTAAGTGCATATGTTGACAACTTCAATAACGAAAAATACAACAACAACAACAACAAAATCAAGCCTTTTGTCCCACTACGTGGGGTCGGCTGCATCAATTCTTTTTCGCCATTGTGTCGTGTTAAAAGTCAAATTCTCATTTAAATCTAATAAAGAAAGATCATTTCTAATATTTTCTAACCAAGTCTTTTTAGGTCTATCTCTACCTTTTTTAACATAAGTCAAAATCTAATACCTCAACTTTTTTAACCGGGTCATCGAAAGGCCTCCGTTTAATGTGACCAAATCATCTAAGACAACTTTCTCTAATCTTATCTTCCAGTGCAGTTATTCCAACCTTTTTCAAGCATATGCTCATTTCGTATCCTATCTCTACTAAGGGTAAAGCCAGTCATCCACCTAAACATCCTCATCCCTGCAACACTTAGTATTATGCTTCTCTTTTAATGGCCAACAAAGAAAAAATAATAGTAAGTAACATTTAAGTAGTAAGAACACCGAGAACCACTAGCATAAGAGGCCGCCGGGATCTTCCCAAGGCACCTTCATTAAGTCAACGTAGGTCCATATGTTGACAACGTCAACAAGCGAGTTAATAATATTATATAGGGGAATTCACATAAATTTTATCCATCTCTATAGCATTTGGTGTCTAAATCACATCAAAATTAATACATAAAAAATAACTTTTATGTTAGGTAAGTTAGGGTCACTTATATTTTTGATGTGACATAAAGATTACGATTTTATATAAGCAAATATAAAGATTTATATATTAAATATGTAAATAAGTAAGAATTCAGAGATATGTTAGTCTACCATAATTTTAATGGCTAGACGAGCTTCAAAAGGAAATAATATATTAAATTTGCACCAAATGCATACCTGCATGTGCATACATATAGTTGCCCAAAATACCTAATAAACAAATGCTACATTCACCCCTTAAAATTTACATTCAAACTCAATCAAGCCACATAAACCTTTGTGATTACGTGCACCACTAAAAAGACCCCCTAAACAAAAGTGTATGACAGTCACCATTTTGATTGGTCCACCTAAAGCAGTGGACTGCTCTATGTAGATTTTTTTTATTTATTTTAGATAATATAGCAGTACTCTATTAATAATATACAAGAGCCAATCACAAATCGAGAAGCTGAATGTTACCTTAAGCTCAGCGCCAGATGCGCCATTCATCTTTTCGGCAATCTTCTTTAGATCAATTCCACGCATCAAGTTCATCTTCCTCGAATGAATTTTCAGGATATCCCAGCGGGACTGAAAAAACCTCATTTAAATTTAGCATTTCATACGAATTAATCATAAACAAACTTTGAGGATTGATTAATGCTTCATTTGGGACGTCTTTTTTATTGCTTCTTAAAACAACTTTTTAGTACAAAAATTAAAATTTTTATACCAAAAAACCGCTTTAAGAAGCAATAAGAAAGTCATCCCAAACAAAGCCTAAATGAGTCACATCAGAAGTGCATCTCTATTTGTTAAAGCAAAGCAATTCTGAAATTAAAACGCATGCCTCTTCGTTGGGGTTGGGAAACTCAATCTTTCTATCAATACGACCAGGCCTGAGCAGAGCTTGATCCAAAATATCAATCCTATTAGTGGCCATCAGAACCTGTCAAATAAAAAGGTTTGAGCATTTTCTTACGTGATTCGGTTTAGTTTCAATATTAATATTAACAAAATCAGAGATGGCACCTTTATCTTATTTGAAGCTTCAAACCCATCTAACTGATTGAGAAGTTCAAGCATGGTCCTTTGCACCTCACTATCCCCATTGCCGGATCCAGATTCCATTCTAGAAGAACCAATACTATCAATTTCGTCCATGAAGATGATAGATGGGGCATGTTCCCTGTAAGTAGTACGATAGACATTCAAATGTCAGAATTTATAATTTCAAAAAGATTTAGCTTAAACAGATTTGCAGTGAAAAGGCAGCTTAAACAGCAATGAATGGATGTACTAAAAAAAATAGCACCAAAACTGGTGAGCTCCGCTTGTTTTGGAAGAGTGAAGAGTTAAAATAGGAAATGAAAAAGAAAAAATAGAACGACAATCGTAAAGTAACTCATTTGAAATTAATTTTTACCCGCTTGTTTGATTAAGAAGAAATTAAGTGATAACTTTATTTCATTGCTTGGTTGATGATAAATTGAGTTTTTATTTTGTCTATATTTTTAATTTTTTTGTTTTGCAAGGAGGGGGTCATTTGAATTGTATTGAAGTTTTTGGTTGATAGGAAATAGGGTGGAACTTTTTTTATCTGATTGATGAGAAATTAAATTCTTTCTTTCTCATGAAAAGGGGCCGTTACGTGCAATCGCATAAAATGGCAGCCTATTGATGATCAGGTTAAGAAAGTAGATGTATTACATTTGGCTTATGAAGATAGGGTAGAGATAGACCTAAAAAGACTTGGTTATAAAATATTAGAAATGACCTTTCTTTATTAGATTTAAATGAGAATTTGACTATTAATAGGACACAATAGAGAAAAAGGATTCATATAGCCGATCCCACATAATGGGGGTAAAGGCTTGATGTTGTTGTTGTTGATGATTAATGAGAAATTAAATTCTTTCTTTCTCATGAAAAGGGGGTTTGTGCTACATTATAATGATGACCTTCTCAAATTTCTTATTCTTTTCGCCGGACTAGAAAAATTGATAATAAAAAATGCATGTGTTTTAAATTTTTTTAGGGATGATTTGATTGCATGAAGTAGAAAACATGACTTGAAAATTGATGATTTTGTTCACTAATTTTGAGCATGAAAATGAGGCAGTTTTGAAAATGAGGCTTGATGTTGTTGTTGTTGTTTGATAGGTTGACGTCAACAAGAACCTAAGCATACCTTGCCATAACAAAGAGTTCACGAACCATTCTAGAGCCTTCTCCAATGTACTTCTGAACCAATTCAGAGCCAGAAACCCGAATGAAGGTGCAGTCAGTATGATGAGCAACAGCCCTTGCCAGTAAAGTCTTTCCAGTACCAGGCGGTCCATACAACAAAACTCCCTGGAAAAGGAAAAAGTCACAAGTTCAGGATACTACCCAAAAAAAAAAAGAAAAGAGACTCAAACTTTTACTGCAATCAAAAGAAAAAATAACAATATAGATGTACATGTACAATACCTTAGGTTGGGCAATTCCAAGACTTTCAAACAACTCTGGATGTTTGATTGGAAGCTCAATAACCTGCATATAAAATTAGACTTTTTAAATAATGCTCAAATACTATTGTTAATTTAAGTTTCGAATTAAAGCATTAAAAGGTCATGAAATGAACGCTAATTGTATTATAAGGTTAAGAAATGAAGGTAATTTACAAAAATTATGCAAAAAAAAATCATATATTGGAGTAGAAAAAATAAGAAAAAACAAGTTCAGCTGATTTCTTCTAACCTCCTTTATCTCTTTAATTTGCTGGTCAAGCCCACCAATCATATCATAAGTAGAATCAGGAACCTTTTCAACTTTCATAAGATTAACCAAAGGATCTACTTTGCTAGGCAGAATCAAGTGAAGGACATAGCTATCATTGCGAAGAGCAACTCTGGTTGATGGAGTGATCTTTGTTATGTCAATATTCTTATCCACATCAACAACATATTTTCCTTCTGGATGGACCTGAAAATCAAATCAAACTTCAGCTTCTCGCACCTAATAGATTTAGGCTACTTTTTGAAGAATTTCTTAGAGATATAGGGTTTACTTTTCCCTCAAAAAAGAAACACGAAGAGAATAAACTACAGCATTAAACTTTCCGATAATTTAATCTAGTGAATTGTTGCCAAACAGCATTGGCATCAATAAGTGCATCAGTATAGCAATTGAATCATGGAAAACAATAAAAACAATTAAGAAAATCACACTGTTCATTGGAATTAGTTCAAGTCTATGATGCACCGACACTTCTCCTCAAAGAGGCGTGCAGTGTCCGACACCGTATCCGACACGACACTCGTCCGACACTCCTCCGACACGTGTCGGACACGCTGAAAACGTGTCTGATTAAAAAATATTAAATACAAATTGGACATGCGTGTGTATTTTAAATATTTTATGAATTTTTTAAATATAATTTATTGTATTTGGCATGATTTAAACTAAATTTCTTATTTCCTATCCACAACACCAAATCAACGCCGCACTTAATACCCAATCATCGAATATTCTCATTTTCATTTCTTTTTGGCAGTGAAGGTATTTTCATCTCCTCTCTCGATGACTGATAAACGGCATCGACGCTTGACTCTCGACATCCTAATACTAATCATTTTAAACACAAATTCTAATAAATGACTTATTATTTTCAAATTATTTTTAAAATTATACTTATTTAATTTTTATATACTATTTTTTAAATATAAAAACTATAATACCGTATCCAACCCGTGTCCGTGTCCTATATTTTTAATAACTGACGTGCCCCGTGTCCGTGTCGTGTCGTATCCGTGCCGCCGTGTCCGTGTCTATGCATCATAGGTTCAAGTACTCAAAAATGCATACAATATATACCATTGCATACAAAGATGACATACAAATCAAGGCAAGCTAATCAACAAACAATAGAACATAGGGAGTGCAATAAAGAATAATATGCTTAATCAAACCCCTTTGCAAAAAAAATTTCAAACTCATAGTGACAACCACACCAATAAAGCGTTGTGCACTAAGCACAACCAGCATGTTAAGCAAGAAAAAAATATGTGTTTCCAGAGTAGAGCACTACCCGTACGTTCCACAATACTAAGATGCCCTGCAAATACCTGATGTAGTACTAGAGAGAAAGAAGTGCAGCATTGAAATTGTAGAGAACGAGCATCATCAACACCATGTAGAGTGCGCAATGAGCATGCTTCATGTCCACCTGACCAAAATCCTTCAATTCAGTTCCATCATCATCATCATCATCATCATCATCATTAGCCATACGACCCTTACCTCAACTATTTGGGGGCAACTACGTGAATCCTCATTTTCCACTCATTTCTATAAGAGCTTGCATGTGTTGAACATATTCTTTCAACTTCTAACCATGTTACTTGAGATCCAGCCTTCCATCCTACTATTTCAATAGCAAATTTATATACCCATTTAATGGGCGTATTTTCTAATTTATCTACCCATTTAATGGGTGTATTTTCTATCCTTCATTGTATAAGTCCAAACTAACCAAGTCTATTTTCAACAATCATATTTGCAATAAATGTTGCAACAATTATTTCTCTAATTCATTCATCACTTTATCATTCCGGTTTTTTCCACACATCTATTTTAACTATCTTATTTTCATCATGCTTAACTTAGTCATTAAAGATCCTCATGCTCCCCAAATATGATACTAAGGAGCTGTATGGTTGATTGACGTGGATGAAGAAGAGGAATTGAATAAGGATGGAAAGGGAGAGGAGCCCGTGCATTTGAAGGTGGTGGAAGTTTCATTGAACTCTATAGTGGGATTCACCCGCCAATCACACTATGAAGGTAAGGGACATATAGGAGGAGAAGCAGTGGAGATCCTGGTTGACAGTGGGGCTACCGCCTAAAACTGGTAGACATGAGAGGGTGGAGTGATGATGGGTATAGAAAACGTAGAGATGAGCAGAGGGATATGTCAAGGTTTGATGGTAGAGCACAAGGGATCCACATAAGAGAAGATTTCCTTCCATTGGAGTTAGGAAGTACTGACTTGATCTTGGACATGAAATGACTACAAATTTTGGGGGAGTCCAAGGTGAACAGGAAGGCTTTGGCTATGGAGATTAAGGTGGAGGAGAGAAGGGTAGTAATTAATGGAGACCCCAACTTATCAAAGGCAATGATTCTGTTGAAAACCATGGTTCGAGCCCTTCAAGGGCAATGAGGGGGATTCTTGGTGGAGCTCCAGAGTAGAGGGAGGAGAGAAAAAGGGTGAAGAGGACATTCCTGACATTGTCCAGCCCTTACTTCAGCAGTTCAGGAAGGTATTCCAACTTCCCAAGGATTGTCACCCCTAAGGGAGCACGAGCATTCTATTGTTCTTTAGGAGGGAGTTTCCCCCATTAGTGTTCAGCCCTGTCGATACCCCAGATCCAGAAGGATGAGATTGAGAAACTGATTCGGGAGATGCTTGGAGCTGAAATCATCAGGCTCAGTGCGAGCCCCTTCTCAAGTCCTGTATTATTGGTGAAGAAGGATGAGAGCCAGAGGTTCTACGTAGATTATAGTGCTTTAAATAAGGAAACGTTACCAAACAAATTACTCATACTTATCATTGATGAGTTGTTAGACGAGTTGCATGGATCTGTGATATTTTCTAAGATCGACTTGAAATTCGGATATCATCATATTAGAATGGGACCAAGAGACATCCATAAGACAACTTTTCATACGCACGAAGGGTATTATGAGTTTTTGGTAATGCCATTTAGCCTCACTAACGCTCCAACCACCTTCTAGTACCTGATGAACAGAGTATTCCATCCCCTACTTATGAAGGTTTGTGCTTATTTTTTCTTATGATATATTGGTTTACAATAGGTTTGAACGGGAGCATTTAAAGCATATAGGAGTTGTGTTGTCGATCTTGAGGCAACACTCCTTATATGCCAATAAGAAGAAATGTTCATTTACCCAGCCCAGAGTGGTGTACTTCAGGCATGTGATATCTCAGGGAGGAGTTGCAGCGGAACAGAGTAAGATTAAGGCCATGCTCAGATGGCCCATACCCAAAAATCTGAAGGAACTAAGAGGATTTTGGAACTCACCGGTTACCATCGAAAATTTGTGAAGGAATACAGATCAATAGCAGGGCCATTGACAGAACAGCTCAAGAAGGACAACTTCAAGTGGAGAGAATCGGCCACCCAGGCTTTTGAGGAGTTGAACAAAGCTATGATCAGTGTGCCAGTCTTAGCCCTTCCATATTTTAGCCAGCCTTTTATTGTGGAGACAGACACCTCGGGTTTTGGGCTAGGAACGTTTCCAAAGGTTAGTGGCCTCGGGTTTTACAGAACCAAAGGCCAGTGGCCTATTTCAGTTAGGTGTTGACGGCCCGATCTAGGCTCAAATCAGTTTACAAGAGAGAGTTGATAGCGATTGTGCTAGCGATTCAGAAATGATGATCGTATCTCCTTGGAAGACATTTCATCGTCAGAATGGGACAAAGAAGTTTGAATTATTTGTTGGAGCAGAGAATGGTCACTAAAGAGTATCAGAGGTGACTTTCCAAGTTATTAGGTTATGACTTTGAAACCCCAGCTAATGGCATTATTTGTGCCTTTGGTGGTTGACTGGGAAGCACTGAGAAAAGAGAGCAAACATGATGCACGCCTAAAGAAAATTAGGGAGGATCTGGCAGGAAACAAGGACAACCATCCAGGTTATTGAGTAGTGAGACAAAAACTGCTTCATGAGGGGCGCTTTGTGCTTCCAAAGACCTCTTCTTACATTCCATGCTTACTCCAGGAGTTCCATGGGACGGCTATTGGGGGACATGCAGGGTTCCAAAAGACATACTGCCGGCTGTCTGCAGAGATGTACTGGGAGGTAATGAAGAAGGATATTGAGAAGATGGTGACTAACTGTGACATATGCCAGAGGCACAAGTATTTAGCAATGTCTCCAGGAGAGCTCCTCCAACCGTTAGCTCCACCAGAAAAGGTATGAGAGCAGGTGACCATGGATTTCAATGAAGGGCTACCCAAGTCAGAAGGATACACTATGATTATGATGGTAGTGGATCGACTGAGTAAGTATGTCCATTTATTCCCCTTCGCCGCTCGTGTACTGCAATATCAGTAGCAATGATTTTCATGAGAGAGGTGTTGAGATTACATGGGATCCCAGAATCGATCGTTTTGGATCGAGATAGGATCTTTTTAAGCCATTTTTGGAAGGAGTTGTTCAAGATGCAGGGGACCATTCTAAAAAGAAGCATTGCTTGTCATCCTCAGACTAATGAGCAGACAGAGGTGGTCAATTGTGATGAGGAAACTTATCTACAGTGTTTTACATCAGACACACCCAAGTTGTGGGCAAATGATTAGCATGGGTAGATTATTGGTATAACATTTACTATCATTTAGCAGCTCAAACCACACCATTCAAAGTGTTATATGGAAGAGATCTGTCACAATTGATATATTATGGATATAGTAGCACATCGGTGGGTTCAGTAGAGCAGTATTTGGATAGAGATAGAATATTGATAGAGCTGAATGGGGCATTTGTTGAGAGCCCAGTAAATTATGAAAAGGAAAGCAGATGCACTAAGGAGGGACATTCAGTTTGAAGTAGGGGGATAGGGTTTATTTAAAGCTCTGCCCCTACAGACATAAATCTTTAGCATGAAGACAGAATGATAAAAGTTATCACCCAGATATCTTGGTCCTTCCGAGATAGTGGAGCGCATCGGGGCCGTGGCTTATCACCTACAGTTACCACCATCGTTAGCTATCCACCTGATGTTTCATGTGTCCCAGTCGCAGCGGGCGACGGGAGAGTATATTCCATCTTCTTTACTTCCCCCGACATTGACGAACGACATGGAGGTGTTGTTGGAACCATTAGAGGTCAAAGGAGTGCGCTAGGGAGTAACTGGAAGAAAAGAGGTGCTAATCAGGTGGAAAGATCTACCAGGCATGAGGCCACATGGGAGGATTACTAGATTCAACAGCAGTTCCCTGCATTCCACCTTGAGGGCAAGGTGGAACTTTTGGGGGGAGTATTGATGCGCCTAGGCTGGACAAGGCAAGAAAGGAGGTTTAGGGAGTGGGGCCCAACAGGGAATTAATACATTATATTAGGAGAAAATCAATTAGGAAAATCTTTCCTAATGAGATCCTTTCCTAATATAATTATTTTCAAATTAAGGAGGGAGATATATTAGGAAGGGGGCTGAATTAGGAAATCCTTTCCTAATGAGATCCTTTCCTAAATGAATTATTTTAAAATTAATGAGGGAGATATATTTGGAAGGGGGCTGATTTAGGGGTCTTGAGTGCTGTAGTTTTATTTTGTGAGGGATCCTAGCGGCGTCTAGGGTTTGGGAGAGAAGATCCTCCTCTTGAAAGAGGATCAATTGTAGCTTGCTTCTTATTATTTGATTTCCTAGCAATAAAATTCAGTTATTTTGCTGAAATTTACTGTTGTTTGCTGATTTTTGTGGTTCGAGACGTATCAGTCTGCTTTACATAAACTGCAGTAATTTTATCTAAAAAAGCTTCTCCTAAATGCTATATTAAGCAAGAATTTTCCTTGGAATTAATCTTTTCTACCACAACAAGGAAAATAATCAATAATATTTCAATTTTCTTAAAAAAGTGATGCTTACCATCACTAGCTTCTATACAACATATTTGATTGGTCTATCGCACCATAAAAAATATCATGCTCCCAATGTATTGCATAACTTATTTGAATTTCCACAACAACAAATAATAATAATAATAATAATAATATACCTTGACTAAAACCTTGGACTTTCCCATAACTTTGACTACTTCACCAACATATGACCCTGGCTCTTGAAGCAATTGCAACTCTTCTCTCAATGCTCTAACTGCAATTTCACAATTAGATATAGACTTCAGTACATAAACCAAAATGGAGGCAAGAATAACTTTCTTTATTGAGAAGCATTACGAATGCATTTTAATTTGCTTGCAATAATTAAGAACAATATAAAGCGAAATAATGCCAATAGTTTATCAAAAGTTGGGCACGTTAAAAAAACAACAAAATAAATAAATTCTGTTCAATCAGAATAAAAACATTGATGCAAGAACCATATAAAGTCAAATGCAAAGACATAGAACTGTAAAGAGCTTAAATTGAGACTAAGACCAATAACCATGGGTGGGCACTGGGCATCATTCAACATCTTCCTGGATGTATGCAAGCTAGAAAAAACACAAGAATCCATGAACCATGAAAATTGTGATCATATTCAAAAATGATATTTTATATGTTAGAAAGAAATGGAAGATTCATGAAAATGTTTGACACGTCAAGACACCAAACTATGTAGGGTGAATAGAGATGATCATGAGAATCTCGTTAATTAGAATAAATAAACAGAAAAATAAAGCTGGAATATCCCAAATACCATTCAGTTCCAACACGAAAAGTAGTGCGGAAGTGGATGGAAGATTGCAAGCTAAAGAAATCAAAGACAATGCAAGGAAAATGAGCATGAGGCAACACCAAAAATAGATCAATGATGAGATGGCAACACCAAGTGACAACCCAATCATAGATAAGAGAGGACTCGGGCCACATCTATACCAACTTCTACGACAGGATAAAAAGAATATATACATATACTATGAAGTCTGCATGGCAAGGGATATGATCTAGTATGAAAAAATAAGTTTTTCCCAAAAAAAAAAAAACACCCTAAAAAAAATTGTAGGACCTATAGATGGAGAATTCTATCCATTAGGCTTTATTTAGTTGCTTGAATTCAAATTAACAACATATATTGAAAAACAGTATATTTACAGAATTCTATCATTTGGTTCAAAGTGTATAGATACTAATATTATTTTAAATTCTAAAAGCACCTTCAAAATCCATCAAAAATGGTGATAACATTTCAAATACAAAGCGAATGAAATGAAATCAACATTTCAAAAACATGTTTACCTTCTAAAGGCAACCAAACGAGCCTGTAATAGTAGATTGTCATGTCTATCCATCTCCTAAGATTGTTCCCAAAGTTGTTTAAAAAGCATTTCTCTAGTGCAGGCTTCAAACAAAAGACCATAAGACCATGACCATTAATTTTCATCTACCAATTGAAAATTAGTAGCAATGGAGTTTCATCAAATTTCATGATTACATGCCTTGTGTGCATATTAAAGCAGCAAAAAGATTACGAGATCTGACACAAAAACAGAAAAACTTCATCTATGCTTGATTTTCTAAAATAGTGCCACCAAGTATGTCTTAAAGATCATAAACTATGCATACATTAGTCTTCAGTTAATTGGAAGGATCTAAGGCGGAAAAGTGCAAATAAGATCCCATACAAAATAACATATCCATAATAAACGAAGTATGCTCTTAGTGCATGGCCAAACAATCACAAAAACACATAAAACCATCTATGGCACCATTTTAGGTGATGCCAAAGAAGAAGAGAAATGTGGCCTTGAAAACTCCAAGAAAGGCTTCAAATTTATACATAGAAATATCTATAGTAGACTTCAATTGATCCCACAAAATATGTTTACTACAGGTCTATAAGTTTTAATGTTCTTCAAACACAGACATCATGAATGTAAAATTACATATTTAACATGAAATGAATTAAGGGAGGAAAATCAATACTTATCATCAGGGAGCTTTCATATGTCCAAATTGAAATAGAGTATAATGCCATGTATTAAACTTTATCTTTGTATTTTTTATTTTCAGTGTTATAGCCATAAGGATATATAGACATAATAAAATAACATACCACATACAAATTGATTTGAAAGGTCATTAGTTGCAAAAAGTATATGCTACCCAACTTAAAATACAAACAAACAATCACATGAAAACATTTGATAATCCTAATGCATGGGTGAAAATCTTTGAAATTTATAATGCATGATCCAGTGATCATATAATGTTTACGCCCTACATGTCATAAACAATTTCAGTTTCCAGCCAAATGTTACCTCGGAACTAACAGAATAACACTAGTGGATATAAAACCATCATCGTCACCCTTATAAAAAGCTCTATTCCAACTATTTGGCACTTTCTCTATGAATCCAATCAAAGGACACTTGAGGTATTTGATAAATGTTGCATGACTTCTAGCCATGTTATTTTAAGTCTACAATTTTTCTTTTCTAACCCTTCAATGATATCACACTTTATCTCAATCTTCTGCCCAAGCCAACTAAAGCTATGTTTTCATTGTATAATTTCAAAAGCTGCTACTTCCACAGTCCAACTTCCCCTAAATAAAATCATTCCTCCCTCAAAATTCTAATTTTGCAACGCATACATCATAACACTCTTGTTTCCACCACTTTCAACCTCATTATAAGTGACTTCTTCATTATCCAACACTCAAATCCATATAACATAATGGATCTAATATAAATTTACCTTTCAAGCCTCATCAATATTATCATAATGAATAATACTAAAGAATAACTTCAACATATTAGCAAACTAGCTTTATTACGAGAAATTATAATCTCATCAATATCCTAGTTCTTTTCTACAAAGATACAAAGTTATAAAATATTGGTTGATAAATAATGTATTCACATTAACAAAAATTGTACATCACGAGCTCAATCTTTGATCCAATAAAACTAAGCCCAAAATCTATAAATTTCCTATATTATTTTGAATTTTTAATTACATCATAAGTAGTCTTAATATCTAAATGCATCACCTATAAGTAGAATAAAACAAGAAGTCTCACTTCATTTTTAAATAACCTCCATAGCCAATTCAAATGCTAGAAACTTAATAAAATTGAGATTAAAAACTAATTACACCATAACCAATTCAGACATAGTTGCACATTACAAAACTTAAATAATTTCATCATACAATTGATGCACACTTTCTTTGTGAAATGCCCACCAAAATAATTCTTGTGTCACTCAATTAAATGAAATTTCAAGATCAAAACACTATATGAGGATCCTTGCTTGCTTGTCTTCCATTATAGCCTAATCACAAATCCATCGACGCCTCATCAAACCCCATATTGATGGGCGCTTCATTGTCCTGTGGAAAAAATTCCCTTCTTGTGCAGACAATGTTTTCTCCCATTTTTTGACATAATAAATAAATTTGTACATCATTACATGAACTTCCTCATTAATCAAGTTAAGCTCCCAAGCATGTACCAATTTAGCCCCATGAGACAGAACATTTTTCAATGAATCATTGTGTAATGAGCTTCATCATAATGATTGTATAAAGTTTTATGTAATCCAATGAAATGCATACACCTCCTAACAATAGGAAAAGCTAAAAGATGCAGGATTTAATGCCATATCCTCCTAGAAAGCCATCATCAGCTTATGGAAATTACTTATCCCTGGACATCAGAGTCATTGTAAGAAAATGTATCTAACTAATTTATATACCATGTCTTCTATTTCTTAAGAACATGTTAAGAGTTGATAATCACGGGTAGATCTAGGCATGGACTTTGTGATAGTTAAGTCTATATATCTGCAAAGTTTTTCTTTTCTCGCTCTTCTCTTTATAAACTTATTGCAAGGGCCAAGCTATGAACGAACAACGCTAAACCCGTAGTAATCAAAAGTAGAAATCCTATTTTAGATATGCAGGATATGTTGGGAAAACAACAACCATGAATATGACATGAATTCCCTTGAACTAATGTAAAAAACCTTCTGATCCAAAATACAATTCGTGATAGCACGAAGTTGTGATTTATATATCACAGACAAAAGGAAAAGAAGCGTCCTCTCAGCATGATATGTTATAAGCTTCAATAATTATTCTACAAAGTGACAGCTGAAAGAAAAATTCCACCCTTTATAATCGATAGATTCAATGAAATCCTTCATGACCAGCCAAACTCCGACCCTCACCACCACCAACAACAACAACATCAAGCCTTTATCCCACTACGTGGGGTCGGCAACAAAAGAAAAGCGCCTACTATTAAAACGCACAACGTCAAAGTCAGATCGAACAAGCCAATCAAAATTCATACTGTCCGCTTGGCTTTCAGATTGCGACTCCCAGACGCGAAAACGAATCTGGGTTCCAGGTTGGAAGGGTAGTGTTAGGGTTCTGAAAGAAGCTAACCTTTGGCGTTGAGGTCGTTGCGCTGGGCCTCGAGACGGTTGAGATTGTGAGACTTCTGCCGAACCTGGAGCTGAAGATCGTGTATGTGTTGCAGGTAGTACTGCCTAAGACCTTCTCCTCCGCCGCCCCTAGTCTTCGCCGGTGGCGATCGGATATCTCCGTCCGCCTCCGTCTGCGTCAGAAATCGCTTGCTCTCGATTGCTACAGATGCCATTACTCTTAAGGGCCTGTTTGGATGCAGGATTTAGACCGGATTTGAAGCGGATTTGAGCTAAATCCAGCCAAACGGCCAAAAAATGTAAAATCAAATCTCAGGGTAAACTTTTCCCAAAAAAAAATCTCAGGGTATATCAAAGCTGCGGTTGACGGAAAATTCCCCCTTTTCGTGATAAATCCCGCATTTACCAAATCCATTTATTCTCCGGATTTACGGGATTTGGCCGAAGAAGCGCGCGAAAGGGAGAAAGTTACCTTCACAGCAAGTAAGATCCCGTTGTTGCTTCCGATCAAAAAAATCGAAACTTCCGATCCAGCAGCAAGGGAACGTCGTCGACGGAGCGAAGTCGAACAGCGACGAAGAAGAACTCGTGCAAAACTCTACACTAATGCGAAGGAACGCAGCAAATAGAAAGGGAAAAGCAAAACTTTTTGGGATTTTTACATACATACCACTTTATAATATTACATATTTAACATCTAATTTTTAAATATTACACTCATACCATTTATTCTCTATTTTCACAACAAAATTGCCACTCCATTACTTCGTCGTCTTTTCTCCTCAATCATCTAGTCTGGATCATCTCCTTCTCCTTCCATCTTCTCTCTAATTCGTTTTAAGGAGGATCTGCTTTTAACCAATCGATGGAAACGAGAGAAGCAAGTAAAATGCAAAAGCCGAGGGGAATCAGCGGAGCAGAGAGGAGGGCTTCATCGAAATGGATCTTTTTATTTTGCCTTGCGAGCTTCGGGAGAGGTAACGAAGACCCATGAAGCCATACAGTGAGTTGAAATTTCCCGAGCAAATATCATTGCAGGATCCCATCGGCAAAGGAAAAAGGCTTTATTGATGTCAGATCTTTGGATAAGGCAATATCATCACTTGAAATGGAGTTGGCTGCGACAAGGAGCTCTCATGAGCTGATGGGTCTGGATGGTTCTCCTACCATTGCAACATCGGCAAAGGAAAAAGGCTTTCGTTGTTATTGGGATCAATACTGCATTTAGCAGTAGGAAGAGGCGTGATTCTATCAGAGAGACTTGGATGCCTCAAGGTTTTGGATTTTTTTTTTTTTGTTTGCATTCTATTTGTAGCTTACATAATTATGCTTGCATTCACATAACTTGAATAGAATTTTGCTACGGTGGAAGAGCATATACGGGCAGCTACGGTGGAAGATCTTCTACGGGTAGCTTGAAGAGCAGCTACGGTGTGGAGCAGCTACGGTGGAAGAGCAAATACGAAAGGGATTCTGGAAAAAATGCGATGATAACACACTTGGAACAGAGCATCTAACGCGGGAAAAAATTGTCTCCTCCGCGGAAACAGCCCACGCGGGGAGGAAGATAAAAGAAGTGAGGTAACGCTTTTACCGAGTGGTATTTTGTTGTGAAAATAAAGATAGTGGTATGAGTGTAATATTTAAGATTAGGTGTTAAATATGTAATCATATGTTTATAAAGTGGTTGTATGTAAAAATCCCAAACTTTTTGTTGTTGTTGGATAACTTAATTAATATAATATAAACTAATTAAATAATATTAAATAATAATTAAATACTAATAAACTTTTAGTTAAATACTTAGTTATTTCAAAATAATTGACAGGATTAAATATAATTTAAATGAAATAATTATTATAAAACAATTTAAATAATAATTAAATATATAATTAGTATTAATAAAGTTTTTGTTATGTTTTACTTAAACTTATATTATTGTATTTAATTATTCTAGAAATAAATGTCAAATTTCTTAATCACTTTAATCTTGAATTGAATTACCAATATTACACTGGATTTTATTATGATTGTATAGAATGTTACCAGCAATTTTCATGATTTAACACTCTTAGGATTTCGTAAGTTCGGATTTAGAGGATTTAGAAATTTACTTAAAGTAATCATTGGTGCATCCAAATAGCCTAAGTTGACTGGAAATTGACCAATTTCGGACCTCATGGTTTTTTTAATTCCTAATCCTAGTCGGTGGCATAATCGATTAGTTGATTAGATAAAAACTCAACAAACCAAACCACTTGCTTCGAAAGCCCTAAGGGCTCTTTGGCAAATGGTTAGATTTAGTAAATCTTTGGGATTGCTAAATCCTGAAAATTGTTTTGATAACTTAATTGATAAATTCTATTAAATATGTGAAACTGTTTGTAATGTAATCCAAAATTTATGTCATTAGTTCATTTAAAATTAAATATTTGTGCTTTTAATTTTAATTACCTCTAGTAAGATTAAACTATATTAATTATACTTAATTAACGTCAATAAGATAATGATAATGTAATATCATTAGAATCGTCTTAATTATCAATAACATAATTAAAATTATAATTATTGATTATAATCCTAATTATCAAAGTACTTATTTTATGTTTAATTATTCATTAGGCATTAATTATTCAACTACTTTTAATTTACACTATTAATTAAATATTTATTCATTTCTATTTTAAATTATATTAATTAAGCGAAATTATATTACATTTTAGTTACTAATTATATTACTATATTTAATTAAGTTAAATTAGAATAATTAATTTAGGAAAAATTATAATATTAATATTTAATTAGTTTATCTTTTATTAATATTTAAAGGGAGATTTACATACATACTCTCAATATACTATTCTATTTATATATTTAACACTGAAATTGATTAATAGTCACACATTGATCGTTCACTTGAAAATGGTCTGCGCACGACAGCCACACTCACACTCACTGCTGAGCATGCTCGTAAGTAACAGAGGGGTTTAATCATTTGAAGATGATAAAATAATAAGGGGATGATGCACATGTGCCTGTAACTCAAAGTTTTAAGTGTTAGATATGTAAATAGAATATTATAAAGTGGTATGTATGTAAATTTCTTTATTTTAAATTATATTTATTAATTAAGTTAACCAATATTAGCCTAGAGACGTATCGGGTTTGCTCAGACGCCGGAGCTCGCTCTAGAACTCCCGAAAACTGATCAATGCCATCCGCTTTACAGTAGGTCAATTTTCAGTAGGCTTTAGAGAAATGGCATCAGTAGCGATCGAGAGCAAGCAAGTTCTGCCGCAGGCGGAGGCGGACGGAGAGATCCGATCAACGCCGGCGAAGACTAGGGGCGGCGGAGGAGAAGGTCTTAGGCAGTACTACCTGCAACACATACACGATCTTCAGCTCCAGGTTCGACAGAAGTCTCACAATCTCAACCGTCTCGAGGCCCAGCGCAACGACCTCAACGCCAAAGGTTAGCTTCTTTCAGAACCCTAACCCTACCCTGCTTCCAACATGGAACTCAGATTCTTTTTTTGCGTCTGGGAGTCGCAGTCTGAAACCCTAAGCGTGGTTCGTTCAAAGTAGCTTGTCCCTTATAATAAATTTGTAAAGTAAAGAGTGAGAAAAGAAAATTGGTGTAGATATATAGCTTTTCTTACTTAACTATCACAAAGTCTATGCCTAGATCTATCCGTGATTATCAACTCTTAACATGTTTGTAAGAAATCGAAGACATGATGCATAAATTATGTTAGATACATTTTCCTGCACTGACTCTGATGCACAGGGATAAGTAATTTCATAAGTTGATGATGGTTTTCTAGGAGGATATGACATTAAATCCTGCATCTTTTAGCTTGTCCTATTGTTAGGAGGTGCATACATTTTGTTGTATATCATAAAACTTCATTCAATCATTATGATGGAGCTTATTCCACAATAATTCATTGAAAAATGTTCTGCCTCATGGGGCTAAATTGGTATATGCTTGGGAGCTTAACCTGATTAATGAGAAAGTTCACGTAATTATTTATAAATTTACATATTATGAGAAAATGGGAGAAAACGTTGTCTACACAAGAAGGAAAATTTTCCCATTGAACAACACATGAAGCCCCCATCAATATGGGGTTTGATGAGGCGCCTATGAATTTTTGCTTTGGCTATAATGTAAGACAAGCATGCAAGGATCCTCGTATACTGTTTTGATCTTGAAATGTTATTTAATTGAGTGACACAATAATTAATTTGGTGGGCATTTCTGCCATTTCACAAAGAAAGTGTGCATCAATTCTATGATAAAATTATTGAATTTTTGTAATGTGCAACTATGTCTGGATTGGTTATGGTGTAATTAATTTTTAATCAAAATATAAGTTTCTAGCATTTGAATTGGCTATGGAGGTCATTAAAAATGAAGCGAGACTTCTTGTTTAATTGTATTTACAGGTGATGCATTTTGATATTAAGACTACTTATGATGTAATTAAAAATTCAAAATAATAAAGGAAATTTACAGATTTTGGGCTTAGGTTTATTGGAGCAAAGATTGAGCTCACGATATACATTTTTTGTGAATGTGAATATGTTATTTATCAACCAATATTTTATAGGTTTATCGGAGCAAAGATTGAGCTCACGATATACATTTTTTGTGAATGTGAATATGTTATTTATCAACCAATATTTTATAACTCTGTATCATTGTAGAAAAAGATGAGATTACAACTTCTCGTAATAAAGCTAGTTTGCTAATTTGTTGAAGTCATTCCTTCGTATTATTCATTATGATAATATCGAGGACGCTTAAAAGGTAAATTTAGATTAGATCTATCATGCTATATGGATTTGAGAGTTGGATAATGAAGAAGTCACTTATAATGAAGTTGAAAGTGGTGGAAAAAAGAGTGTTATGATGTAGATGCATTGCAAAATAAGAATTTTTGAGTGAGAAATTGTTTTATTTAGGGGAAGTTGGACTGTGAAGTAGCAGCTTTTGAAATTAATGCAATGAAAACATAGCTTTAGTTGGCTTGGACAGAAAATTGAGATAAAGTGTGATATCATGGAAGGGTTAGGAAAGAAAAATTGTAAACTTAAAATAAATGGCTAGAAGTCTTGCAACATATATTAAACACCTCAAGTGTTCCTTGATTGGAACGAGTATAGGAGGATTCATAGAGAAAGGGACAAATAGTTGGAATAGAGCTATTAATAATGGTGATGATGATGGTTTTATCTCCACTAGTATCATTCTGTTAGTTCCGAAGTAGCATTTGGTTAGAAATCAAACTGTTTATGCATGTAGGGCATAAACATTTTATGATCACTAAATCATGCATTATAATTTTCAAAAATTTTCACGCATGTGTTAGGATATTATCAAATGTTTTCATGTGATTTTTTTTTTGTATTTTAAGCAGAGTAGCACATACTTTTTGCAATGAATGACCATTCAAATCAATTCGGATGTGATATGTTATGTTATCATGTCTAGATATGCTTATGGTTATAACATTTAAAATCAACAATACAAAAATAAAGCTTAATACATGGTATCATACTCTATTTCAATTTGGACATATGAAAGCTTCCTGATGATAAGTATTGATTCTCCTCCCTTAATTTATTTCATGTAAAATATGTAATTT